ATTTGAATTTAGTAAATGAGTCAATCAAAGATTAATGTAGTCATTCCTGTAATAACTAAAGAGGTATCTACAAATAGAAACAAGTAATAAGTCTGAAAAGTAATTGCATTCTGTAAATTGTTTTTGCTTTTCAGAAGATAAATATCCAGCAATTACTCAGTAATTTCTGGAGCTTTCAAAGCAATGATCCTGCTGCTATATGGCATCTATAAGATATTATTGACCATTAAATTACAGGATAAGGAATGCATTTCATGACTTGGAAATTTAAAAGCACTATAAAACTCAGATAAATAACCATTCATTTCCCAAAAAAGCTTCACTGAAAAGTGGCCTTATGTACTTTCGAAGACCCAAGTTATGCATAACACAGAAGACACTGATTCCAAAGGCTGCCTAAAATGAATGATATGGAGGACAGGTCATTTGTTAATAAACAGAAGCTTGGTTTTGGTGAGAGTGCATGGCAAGGGCTGTGAGAAACTCCTAGGGCAGTGGCTAGTCATGGATGGAAAAGGAGCACAGGGCCTGGTGGTAAGCGTTGCACGATCTGCTGAAACATATTATTTCTTTCTATGTGCACCATTATAGCTGGAAGGCCCACTGACAGCATCCGTGAGATACTGTATCAAATACTTTTACTTTTAAGAAGATTGTTTTCACTGCTACTGAAAAGATTGTTTTGCAGGTTGTGGTGTAATAATCAACCTAGTCTTTCCTAGCATTTTGAGCAAGCAGAAAGCAGTTGCAATCTACCAAAAACCAAAAAATCCAGAAAACTTGAAATTCCTCGCAAAGGAATTAGAACTATTTAAGTGTGGGTGGGGCAAGGCTCAAAAAGTAAAGAGTACATACTGTTGAATTTCATTTACGCAAAATTCTAGAAAATGCAAACTATATTGTTAGAAAGCAGATCAGTTGTCTAAGGTTGGGGTGGAGGGAGGGCACAAATGCAAAGGGGCAGGAGGGCACTTTTGGGGATCGAAGACATGTTCAGTATCTTGATTGCTGGGGTGGTTTTCGCAAGTGTCAAACTCGAGAAGCACACTTTATATGGATGCACTTTATTGTGTATAAATTATACTCTAATTACAAAATAATAAAACAAAAAGCACAAATAAACATTAAAAAAATGGTAAAAAACTCAGGTTAAGTCTCACTTTCCTGTGGAGTGGCGAACGAGTCATCTTTCCAGACCAAGCTTCACAATGCTATTATTTGTGTTTTGGCACTTGTCTTTTAGGAGAAGGGGGTGGAAGCATGAAGATACTTCACCTGCCAAATAAGGGAATGTGAACGCTAAAGCACCTGAGAATTTGGTAAGCACTTAAAATAATAGTATGGCACATTGTTTAGAGCATAGACTTGAGTTTAAAAGACACATGGAAGTCTCAGCGTTGGCTTTGCTGCTATCTATTGGCAGGTTACAAAGACCCTGTGCCTGCAGGTTGGAAGTTACCTCATGTTCCTTTCCTTTGTCATTCAATTTAAAATTTTTCCTATGCTCTTCTTCACATTATGGACTTACAGTGGCCATAGAGTCCCCATGCATGAGATTCTGTTTAAAACAGATGACGATGGACAAGTAGACTTCGGCACAAGTCTTAACCTTTAAGAGTCTATTTTCCCATCTGTAAAATGGGAATACCATTTAACTACTGTGTGACTAAAATGGACATGTAACTTGGTATTGTATTAGTAACAGCTGCTCAGTTTATAACAGATTAACAATAAACATTTGTTATCATTTCCTTCAAAATGAAAGGCAATGATTAGTTAAATAAAAGATTAATGATATCTTTTAAGCCTGCGGTCCCAGCCCCTGGGTCACGGACTGGTACCAGTCTGGCCTGTTAAGAACCAGGCCACACAGCAGGAGGTGAGTGGCAGGCAAGTGAGCTAAGCTTCATCTGTATTTACCGCCGCTCCCCATTGCCTGCATCACTGCCTGAGGGCCGCCGCCTGTCAGACCAGCGGCAACATTAGATTCTGCATTATGGTGAGTTGCATAATTATTTTCATTGTATATTACAATGTAATAATAGAAATACAGTGCACAATAAATGTAATGCACTTGAATCATCCTGAAACCATCCACCCCCTCAGGGCCTGTGGAAAAATTGTCTTCCATGTCTTCCATGGTCCCTGGTGCCAAAAAGGTTAGGGACTGCTGTTTTAAGCCATTTTCTCTTCATGATGTCTTATTAAAATAAAATCTGTCAGGTCCTTCTGAAAAATGCTATGAGAGTTTCCAACAAAATGTCTATCAGAGTTAACTGAATATTTTTTCCACTTGTGTACCTTTTTTCAAGCCACTTAGCTTACTATTTCTCTGAGAATATCAGTATATTTTTTCTTCAAGTATATTTTACACACCGGTTTAGAATAACAATCTGAATTTTATTAAAAACAAAAATAAATCATCATCTTTGTATTGCTCAGTAAATATTTTGTTGAACTAAAAAAATATTAGTTAAAGAAATGAGCAAATGAATGGATGGATTTACTAAAATGAAGGTAGGGTTTATAAAAATGTGTATATACATATAGGTTGGGGGATTAGAGTCAATAAATGAATGAAATACTTAATGTAACTTAGAAATACTAAAAGAAATCTGTTTTCTAATGAGAAGAATCACTTAGTGATATATGCTGTGTTGTGTTTCATACAAATTAGGACTCATAAAATTGTGAAAAGCACCCATTTAACCCAAAACTTTGAACTGGAGATGATGTGTTAACTGGCCAATCACTCAGCCTCTCAAAAATCATGATTAAGGTACAACAGTGCTGAGTATTGTAAGAATACTGACATTTCAGTTTTCATTAGTTTCCGTGTAAGGTAAACACAGAACATCTCACAGCTCATTTGCTGATGTAAGTTATTCCACCACTTTTACACACCGGTTTAGAATAACAATCTGAATTTTATTAAAAACAAAAATAAATCTAAAAAGCTTCCTTCAATTACACAGTATGCACAAGAATTTCTGCATTACATCATTTTACATAAAATGTTCTGAATGACAGAAGTAGAACTTACTACCATTTGAAGAGAGTTGCTGAGCGCTGAAAACCACACATACTTATAGAAAGAAACAAAAGTTTCACAGGGAAGACCTGTGATCTCTGGCTACAGGCAGGAGCTGAAATTAGGAACATGAAAAAAACTTGAAGAAAAAAAGACATTCAATACTCTAAAATACTTCAGCAAAAATAGTCAAACATTTGTAAACAACCTTTAACAAATCTTTTCAATATGCTGTGTTGCTGCTACAAGGTAAAATATTCTTAATTGATTTTTAGTCAACTCAAAAAAGCAGTTTTTATTGCTGAGGAGTATTTCCCTCTAGACTAGATAAAAGCTTTGCTTTCTCTCCCTGGAAGGCAAGAGTTAAATGGAATTAGGGCTTATCGGAGTTTGTTTGTACATTTCTTAGACTGGGGCATTTCAGCCACTTGCTTGCCTGTTTGCTATTCCCACTCAAAAAAATGAGGGTTAGTTAGAATTGTAAAACCAGATTTAATAAAAACTTTGGCTCCAGTTAACATTTTTATTTGAAAGTTTGTTGGATGAGGACACTGATGAAACTGGCCGTGGATTTTAATTATCCCTGGTGTCCTTTTCTCCCATCTCCAGGGATCATCAGGACTTAACAGTATGAGACTGGCAACACAACTACTTCAAAACAGAGTAAGGCTGAACTGTACTCAATGTCCAGGACAACTACAGTACTGAAAATCCCAAGGAACTTACTGTAAACAAATAAGCAACTGTTCAACAGCCTTTTGCATTCAGTACCATGACTTAAAAATCTACTATTTTCTTCCATTTACCTATTTGGACATTTTTGTGAAGTGACAGCGTGTAACAATAATAAAATTTCCCTTTAAGTGTGTTATGATACAGCAAAACACATCAGTAACTAGAAATAGAATCTGAAATCTCTAATGCTAAATACTAATGGAAACGTTAAGCCTTAGCACTCACGCTTGGACATCTCGTGCTTTGAGATAATTAGAAAAGCCTTTTAACAGTGACTAGGTCCCTTTTGGTGGAGTGAAATGTACACACAAGCAGCGATGCTATGGAGGAGTTATGTTTTTCCTTAGTCTATGGTTATTGTCTCTGTCAATTTTATTTTATTATTACTATGTTGAGCCCAATATCAGTTTCAGCTAGGTAATCAAATTATTTGGGAATGATAACCTTCCTTTTATTTAAACTAAGGAATGGAAGACATTTAGTTCCCAGAAGCTTTATAATAATAGATTTTGAAGAGCTAAAAATGACACAGTTTAGTACATACTGTCCTTTACTTTTATTCCTTGTATATACAAGGAATTCATTATAAAACTCAGTGGGAGGAGGAGAAAATAATGGAAGAAAAAATTACCTGCTTTAGCATTTTTAAGAATAGTTTGATAACTTCTTAGATCAACTTGCTTATCTGAAATACAGCAAAACTACAATACAATCATGATAGAATTCTAATAATCACAGCAATTATGCTTTCATTTAAAATTTTCTCTTCATAAAACATTAATGCTATAAAAATGAGATTGGTGACATCTTTATTTAAAAGACACCATGCACTGGTATCAAAATGTGACTTATTTTAATGCCAACTGAAAAAATAGAGCTTGTATAGTCTATTATTTCAATGATGTTTTATTATTACTTTTAAGTTATTTTGAAGGTTGGTAGCAAAGTTACTGTTAACAATATAAATATTCTCTCTTTTTAAGTGTTGAAATTCTCTTAAAAGTATTGAAAGGCAGCAGGCATTCCAGAATGGGCTTGCAAGGAAAATCAGTCGTTACAATATCTAGGATAAGTGGGATACTTGGATTTATATTTACTACTTTAACTTCCTCACTAAATTCTCCTGATTTGCCTGGTTTGTTCTTCTTTTGGTATCATAAAAAGAAATCTAAGCCCAAGCCTTTTAGCTGGGGCAATTATTTCCATTTTCCATTATTTCCCTTCAGTTTTTTCCAAATATATTATAAAACAATTCGATAATCACTGCAGGAAGAAATGATCATTTAAACTAAATCATGTTCTTTTGCCTTTTAATTTCACTTAAGAGATATTAATAATAGTCATAAAAGCTTTATAGTTTCAACATGTAACACACAATCATAGAACTAAAAATCTTTTGCTAAAAAAAAAGTTTAATTTTGTTCAATGTATTATAATCAAATTTTAGTCTAATGAAATCTGGTAAAATTGCTTTCATTAAATACATCAGCTGCTACTTACCTTTAAATATTTTACAGATGGAACTAAGTTCAGTACTGATCCAAGGATGCTGGCATCAAAGCCCTCACCTTTGAATTATCCCTAAAAGTTCTGTATTTCTGTAATGTACCACCAATTATTCTAGATTTATAATACCCTGTCTTTAACTTGGCATATACCATCTTTTGGGAAAAAAAAGTTATTAGTTTTCTGAGATGAGATACAAGAACAAAATCATTCTTGAGGTTCCACCTCTGATATGGAAAAAAGGATGATGTTTGCATATAGCAGCTAGTTTGATATCCTCTGTCCTGCTAGGCTAGCCTTCACACGCTGAGCATGCATATACAGCCACAGTTCAGCGCATCTGTTCTGATGTTGAGAACTGCTGCTTATTCAAGTCACAGATGCCACCATGTTATGAATGAGACAGTAAAATTCCATGTCCACCATGAGAAAAGGAAAACAAACAATGAAACAAATGCAGCAAATATAGGCAGATGGCATTCAGAACACGCCAAAAATCTAACAACACTCATGAATTGTCATTATAAGGGTTTTTCTTTCCTTAAAAAAAAGTCTTTCTTTGCATATTTGAAAATTTAACGGTCCCAGAGAATCATGAAGTGCCTTGTCGTTTTTGCTGCTGACTTCTGATGACCTCTAGCTGTTTTTTGCATTGCTGGTAGTAAGTTGAAAGGCTTTTGTTTTCATCTAAAAGCTTTTTATGTTCCTGTACCAGACGAGATGTATTTTGCTGGTCCTTTTCATCCTGGTCCAGTTCTGCAACTAGTTCTTGCCTAAAAACAAATACCACATAATAAAACATTATAGGTGATGGAAAAATTGGTACCCTACTAGCTGATGACAGAAGCTCAATTAATGGGAACTTTTATTTTGGGTCTAGCATTCCACATCTTAGGCACACTACTCAAATATAATTATGGGCCAGAATGCAAACTATCACCTACTTTTCTGGTGTAACCATATATGTATCATAACCCATTTAATAAGTAACTGTAGTTGGATAATTAGTTGAAGCAGATAAAATGGTAAAATAAAAATTTCATTTAGTATCCCCTTTTTGTGTAGGAAGAAGAAAAAAGGCTGGGGAAGGCTCTATGTGACTATAGGAAAATAACACGAAGTTTTTATTATTCGCAGTCTACTTTTATACTTATATTCATATTCTGAAGTTGCAATCCTATTTAACTATAATACAGAGTGGTAGGTAATAGAACATTTGCAAGCTAATTAAAATAGATGTTATCCAACTTATTTCCTATTTTAAAACAGAACAATGCAAAGTGTCACTTTTAAGCCACTTACATTTGCAAACATTTTCAGGAAAGACTCTTAGTTTTTTACAGTCTGATAAACTTCTTTAAGTCCCTTTTATTTGGCGAGTATTAAGTAGGGCGAGGATACTGGATATAAATGAATACTTAATAAAAAGTCCTCAAAAATAATTTCCTAATAATATTAATATTTCTCACTTTATTTAAAATTGATTAAAACTGTCATAGTTTTCACAACCCACATTCCAATTCACCATTTGTTTTTTACAGCATAGAACTCTTCTTTCAAATGATTTTAAAGTATGACAAAAGTATAGGTTAAATATATGTTATAAGAACATAGAGTATTTTTTCAAAATGAAGTACCAGCAGTTCCACCCTTACTTCTACAATTTCCAGACTATAGTATTTAATTTCCTATTTTGGTTTATCTTTAAGATACCAAGCTGATTTCATTTAAATCATTGTATCAGTAAATAGTGATAGAACTATTTTTTCTTTTCTTTGAAGCACAAACAGAAAACTTTTTACAAATTACTTCAGAAAATAAGAATTTCATTTATTTAGATTAAAATAAATAGATGGAGTCCTATTATACATACTTAAAGTTGCCATGATTTCTTCCTATAATACTTCATTTTAGTTACCACTCATAAATCAGCTACATAAGTATAAAATTTCATCATACTTAAGAAAACCGAAGATACATATACATCTTTAAGAACTGTGAATTCAGTGGTATGGAAATTGGATTGGATTTCTTTAAAAAGGCAGGAAGGCAGTTTTTATAACTCTCAGAAAAACATGTACAGGCATCAAACTCCCCCGGAAATACACTCACAAGTATGAAATAAAGCCCTCTAACAAGTGATCCTACTTCCTAAATATACACCTGGAAAGAATATATCTACAGAAATGTTTCTAAGATAAAACACAGCTGAATGTTAGTAAATCAAATTATTTTACCTATGTCCAAGGAAACAATAAATCTTCATAACAATAAATCTAAACAGCTTTTAACTTTAAAACACTGAGAACATAAAACACATGGGTATATAGCACCAGTTTATTTTCCTTAGTACTAATATGACATAGTCAAGAGGACTGAGTTCTAAATGAAAAATAGTCAAAAGGTATTTAAAACTTAAACATGAAAATAAATCTCCAAATTGGAAATACACTTAATGACTAATTTTAAAAATCATAAAGTTTTCATGTCTTCAAACAATATTGCACCTTAACATATTTTAAACTTGAAATACTAATGTGTTTTTATTTTTATTCATAAAAGATAACTTACTTTCTCTGTAATAATAATGCAATTTCTGTTTGAACTTTCATATATTCTTGTGCCATTTTACAATGCTGTTCAAATACTGCCATAGATTCTTTGGAGTTCGGGCATGGTGCTAGAGGCTGAAAATAATCAGGAATGTTAAAACATAATTAAATCAAATTTCAGTAGCTAGCTGAGAGTTGAGACTGTGATATATTTTTATAGCACTAAGGCAATGATCTTTTATTAATAAAGTGTTAAACTATGCCCTAGAAAATCTCAGTGTCCTTTTGTCAGAGTTAGCTAAGAATTTAAATTTACTTTTGCTGTTTTAACACTTTTATTTTTTACAGAGAACCACGACTAGAAAACTTGTAGCCTCTGGTATGATGTTTCAGGTTGCCAAACTGTATTATGCCTAAAGATGTTTATAGCCCCCTATACTCATGAAGAGGCATTGAAGGGAATTATTTACATTTTCCGTCACTATGAACATAAGAAGGTATCACAAAATATGTTAGAAATAGCTTATAGGACACATACACACACGCGTATTTTTTTGAGACAGAGTCTCTCACTCTGTCGCCCAGGCTAGAGTGTGGTGGTGTCATCATAGCTCACTGCAACCTCCAACTCCTGGGCTCAAGTGATCCTTCCGCCTCAGCCTCTCAAGCAACTGGGATGACAGGAGTGTGTGTGGCAAATTTTTTTAAAAAATTTTTTGTAGAGACAGGGTCTCGAACTCCCGGCCTGAAGTGATCCTCCCGCTATGGCCTAACAAAGTGGAGTTTTATATTTCAATGCACTAAAGTTAAAGAGTAAAAATGCTATGCTTGGCAGTCTTGAAGAAAGATATTAAGGGATATTTCAAGATGACTGTCAGGATAAGAACATATTATTATGCCAATTTTAAATTTGATTAACTTCAGATGTAGCAATTAAAGTATATAAAAATGTAAAAAAAACCCTGAATAAATTTGATTAACTTAACTAAAAGAATTGTTTATTTTAATTTGATTTTTAAAAGTTTAAGGAGGCCAACTAAAAGCATGAATAAATGAATATAAAATGATGGATAGGAACATAATTGTCAGCTTCAAAGATAAATTCTCTCAGAAGAAAAAAGTAAACTTTCACTGGGAAAGTACTCCTTTACCTGTAGTTGGTGATCCAGTGTAAGATAAGCCATTGGGATGGAGTTATCTGACCCATTGGTATCTGGAATACAAGCATATGTTTCATTTATTTCCTGTCATAATTATACAAAAAGCAAGAAAGCATGCATGAAATGCTTTTTTCCCCCTAAAGTAAATGACATGTAAAATAAAAGTTACTGCTACTGGCAATGAATAGAGTTTATTTTTGAATTCTAAAGGTAAAAAAAGGACATCCAATTACCAGATAATTGGATGCAATCATGTTCTCATACCTACAATTAAAGTTGGCTACAAACTGAATAGAAAACAACAATAAAGCTTGTCTTTGTTTAACTAAAAGCAAAAACAGTGATATGAGACCTTTATATTTTGAGACTCTTGCTCTGCCCACTGAGCCAGCCGGGAGAGTCTGCAGGACCTTTACGTTTTAAGTTTAACCTTAATGGACCTACCTATTCAAACCCACATCTCTTTCTTCTCTTTATGGTGAGACGTTTACTTTACATAAACCTGTGTCAACTCTGTTAACATCAGTGTTTAATAGGAAACGGGAGAAAGCAAGAGACCCTTTCTCTTCCAGTAGATCATTTTCAATTTATATAGATTCTAACGTGAAGCCCCTCCATCTTACCCCCCAACAAGAATCACTGCAGAAAATGAGAAATGTTATTGATGACAGTGTATTACAAATATGAATAGTATGGAAACAAAAAAGAGGTTTAGAACTGTGGCTCAACGTCATGCCAAAAATAGTTAAATTGGTTAATTCTAACAACCAATCAACTCTATCAAACTATTTGAACAGAAAGTGTTTGTTGATATTTCAAAACAGGTAAAACTGTTATACGAATTGATTGAGATGCATGAGATGGTCTCTTCCCAACATGAACATTTATGTAGAATAGATCCAGAAGTAAGCAGAGTAACTATGAAGTAATATAGACTTTGCTACTTCAGAAGTAGCTGCTTTCCCACTGTTGGTAGAGAAAAAATGAGCTGCATGAGTGAGCTGTTCAGCTCTTTTCTGGTAAGTAACTTCCTTGAAAGAGCGGTGTAAAGGGAAGGTCAGGATGACAGCAGAGGCACTGCACGCAATTGAATAAAAAACTAAGACAGTTTGATAGTTCAGTAACCTTTTAACTTATTGTTGACTGATATTCCAGGATTTTTAAAAAGCCATTGAGAATGTGCTTGCAAGTAACTTCAAAAGCAAATTAGCTAAATCAGGCCAAATAGATAATGCATATAAGGAATACCGTGCAATGCTGGCATATAACTAAGCACTCAACACACAGTGGTGGCTGTTATCATAATCGACATTATTATTACCGATACCAAATGGAGGATTAGGAAGAAAGGGCAATTTTAATAGTTAAATATGTATTTAGATTAAAAAAGTAATGTTTATGAAATACTAGAGTGTAATAGAGAAAAAAAAACCCACTAGAGCCTTGAGGTACTTATCCTAAATCATCTACAGTACTAACTCAAATATTTTTTTTGAAAAGGCTAAACAAGAAATACACTTAATTTGTTATTTCTTTGACCAAATCTCTCCCTATGCTCTCATGCAAATATTGCCTTCCACAAAATCAAAACTGATTAAAAATGATTTCCTTCTGACTTAACAGGAAAAATTCAGTGTACTTAAAAAAGGTTTTCTCAATTTAACATTTCCATTCTTATTAATCTTTCTTAAATTATTGATACCCTATATTTCCCATTATATTAGCATCCTGTATCTCATATATGTTTTAGAATTAAGTATAATACATCAATGTTTCATGGTAATCTGGGAGTGGGAAAAAGTCCAAGGATTGGGCTATTCAAACAATTTAAGCCCTTCCATAGAGAGGAAACTAAGATTCTTTATTGAATTTCAGTTTTTCTCTAAAACCAAGAAGTGGGATTTTACTTTCTCACTTACAAATTGAAATTGAACGTCTAGTCTTTAATAGCAATAATTGGTCACAAGATAGCAAGGTTATTTAATGAAAGTTTGTTTTTTTAATGTTTCTATTGCTAATCAAATCTAACCCCTTCTCCTCAATGTCAAAACTCACATTGGTTTGGTTAAATGATGCAAATTCTCCTTTCTACCCACCCGCCCAAAACACAACACTTGTACCATCTCATATTTTCTGAGTATGCATTCCTTCAGTGGGATGCTGTCTTCTCCTTTCTGCTTTATGACTAAAGAACAAGTCTCACTGTTTATGAAAAAGTCATGGACTATGCCAGGCCTTATTTAATTGATTTCTCTCTTGACTAGTAAAATAGCTTGTACCTGTAAACTTAGTAGTTTATTAAATAGTATGATGAGTTTATTTTTAATGTGTCAGTATCACGAGTTTAATCACATTGGGAAGAATTAGCCATGTCTTTTATGTCTATCTTTGCAAGTACTAAGCCCAGAAGAAACCCTGGTGAGTTTGCCTCTCTGTGGCTCCCTCTACTGGATCTAGATCTCTTTCTCACTAGATCTCTCCATATCTATGTCTTTCTTTATATTCATTATACTATAAATAGAAACTGAAGAGCACTCATTATTTGCAATGATTATTAAATTGTTATGCTCTTTAGTTTTCTCTGAAAATACACAGAAACTTCTTTTATTTTAAATTTAAAAAATCTAATTAATTAGGTTTACACTCAATTTTTTCATGGGGCAGTGGCCCTTCTAAGAAAAAGACTTTACGTATCTTCTTCCTATAATTTATTCTATTACTTGTTTATCAATACTTTTCTTAAATATACTGAAAAGCTGAATTAACTACAAAGTTAAACCAGTGTCTCAACTTCTAAAATGCATTCAAAATTATTTAAAAATGATAACCACTATTTGCAATGTATTTCAAGGCAAAGACAAAATTCAGCTGATATTGCAACCTACTTCTAGCTATTGGTATTTTGTGGTATTTTTAGGTATTGGAAAAGAAAATAATGACACAGGAATTGGAAGAGTAGGAACACACATGAAGCCGAAATACAGAAGTTATGTGAGAGATACTTAAAAAAATTTGATTTTAACCCCATGAATTCACAATTTGCCATGCTGTTGACTGCAAGTATAGACTAGTTTAGACTGAAGTTAGGGGGCTCTGCAAACTGAGTACCAGACCCCACAAATTTTAATGTCAGGGAGAGTATTCTTGTCAGACAGTTCAGGAATCAAAATGAGTTGGTATCATCACCTGAATATTAATAATAAAATCTGCCAAGAGCACTTCCCTGTCTATTCACTGGGGAGGAGCATGTCTGTGATGAATTCTGCACATTTGCTGACTGTGGTGAATGCCCTGGACAATTCTAGGTTGAGCGTGAGAGGGGGAAACTTAGACAAGTTTTTGTCACCACTAAATTTAAACTTACTAAAAACTAGAGAGAGTACGCCCCTGGCTAAATAAACACTGTTCTATCTTACATGACACAGAGTAAAAACCACCCAGTTAATTTTTTAAATTAAATTATAAACTTGACTAAACACCCCAGATAACTAAATACTTGAGTCATATTTTAGTTTGTAAATAAGAGGCTGACTTTTAAATTTTAATTTAATTGCCACTATGAATAACATAGTTGATCTTATATAAAATCCCAAATGCTTTGATTTTCCAAGGTCTAACAGATCATCTTTCCCTCTCTGACTTAATAAAATATAAATAAAAATTTTCATTTAAATATACTTGAGAGTATTTATCAAAGTATTCTGTTAACATGAGGGAAAGTTAATTCCACTATAGCACATCATTTCTGGTTTGCCCATAATGAAACTATTCCAATACTACCTTCAGATGGGAAGGTCACTAATATTGTGACCAGTTAGTTATTCATGTTTGGGAGTTTAATAACTCTTAATTCACTTTTAAAGGTCTATTTAATAAAATATTTATATAACTGAAATAAAGTCTCCTATCAGTTAAAAATGATTCAAAAGGTCAATAGTCAGAAATTTTCTTCTCACTAAGGTATGATATTTTATGTCCTTAAAACAAAAGACTGAGATGAAGATGATGATGATTTTTGCCATTCTGATTTTAGTTATTTAAAAGATAATGATTTTACTACTATCCCAGCAGAATAGATCCTAACAGGAAAACCTCAGACTTAAATATCAAGAATACAATATACTTCTTAACTGGAAAAAACCCAAAACAAACTTTTTTCAAAATATATGTTTAGCATCTGGGGGAAAAAAAATACAGAGGGCAAGGCAGTCTTTTAGTACCCACAAAAACATTTTAAAATTTATTGCTAAATAGTTGATTTTATTAATATGTAAATCTAAACTATTGTGTAACGCCTACCTTTGCAAAGATTAATGACACAACTAAATGAACATAAACATGATGAATTCAATTTTATAATTATAATGAAAAAGTAGACTGGTCACCTGTGGAATCATCAGGGGTCCATGGATGACTTCGAGTTGGCTTTTCTGAGGTTGGTCCTGAGGTAGTGATCATTCTGACACTGGGACTGGATGACCTACTGCTCACCTGTAGGAGGAAGTGACAGGAGGAACAAAATGTGATCTTTGACTAAAAAATGACAAGATGTGTGCCTATAGTCCTGGCTACATGGGAGACTGAGGCAGGAGGATCACTTGAGCCTGGGAGTTTGAGGTTGCAGGGAGCTATGATGATGCCACTTCAGTCTAGCCTGGGCAACAGAGTGAGACCCTGTCTCTCTCTCTCTCTCAGAAAAAAACAACAACAAAAAACAAAAACAGAGAGAACATTTCCATTAAAAGGCAAAGGTAAGAATTCAACTTCTATTAGTAGAAATCCCTAAAAAACTCTTGCAAAAAACAAAATAAACCCTCTAAGAATGTTCTATATATGTAAAAATTTACATGCTCTCACATATGATCATATGATACCTCTTAATAATTGATGAGCTTTGTAAGAAAGTTAAGAGAAGTACTCTGAAACCAGAAACAAAGTAAGATCAGGAGACTAACAAGTGCTTATGCTGCTATCTCTGGGGATTTCATGGCCTAGAGCTTTTGTTTTGACAGCCTGCTGCACTCAGAGGAGCAGACCAGAAAGCCTTGGGCCTTTGTAGGATAGGAGTAAGATTGCAGAGACCTCTCTTTAAAGCTAAAACCCAGCAGAGGCATCGCTCTCAGGGAAAAGGTGAACTAGGAAAAAAAAAAATCTACCCTATACAGATAGCAAATAAATTTGTCTGCCTTGGTAGTGGTTCTGGGTAGAGGACAGAAAATGTATTTACTGTGAAATCTATAAGAAGTTTACAGAATTGATGGAAGATACAATAAATCCCAACCACAAGCATAAAAAATAAGAGAAAATCCATATCCTGACTTTAACATGGAGTATATATAGTCAGATTCTACAAAGTAGAAACAGCAGCCGGAGAGAAAAGTTAGATTACCCACTAAAGAATACCAGTTAGACTCTCAATAGCAACAAAAGAAGCCAGAATAAAGTAGAACAGTACTTTCAATGTACTGAAAGAAAATAATTGCTAACTTAGAATCCTTTAGCCAACAAAAATGTGAAGAATGAGGCCAAAATAATATTCTCAGATGGACAAAAACTGAGTTACCAGCCATAGATTCTTACCACAGAAATTTCTCAAGCATGTATTTTTGAAAGAAGAATCATTTTTCCTTGGTGGAAGGGCCAAGATGCAATCAAGAATACTGGTAAACAAGGGAATAAATCTACACACTGAAAATATTCAGTGATGAAAACAGTGACTAATTTACATTTGCTAAACAAATGAATAAATAATATGGTACTAAAATTCTTAACAACAATAGCATAAGCAAAAAGAGCACTGATTTTAAAATCCTTGCATTGTTCAGGGCGAGGGTATAGATGTTAATTAGGTTGGGCATGAATGTTAAAATTCAAAGGTATTTACTAAGTAGTAATATATAACTACCAAGCCAGAAAGAAAGATAATGGAATGAGAAATAAATTTATTCAATTCAAAAGAAGGCAAGAAAGAAGGAAAAAAGAAAGCAAAATAAATCATAAGAGGGAGTAATCTATCAGTAACCACAATAAACGTAAATGGATTATGATATTACATTAACAAAAATCAGATTATTAGGCTGAATTAAAGGCTGTTTATAAGAGACATACCTAATTTAAAGAGACAGAGAAAACAGAAAGTTGAAGGATAAAAAAAGATAACAAAGCAAAAACTACCCAAAATAAAGTCCCTATATTAGTATCAGGGAGGATATATTTTAGAGCCAAAAAAAAATTACTAGAGAAAGAGATAAAATGATAAATGGTTCAATTCAGAATATGACAATTCAAAATTTATATGCTGTATATACAAACAGATAAAGCAAAAAAACTTCAAGGAAAAGGGACGCATCACCCTCATTGTGAGGTATTTTAATACTCCTCGGTAAAGGACATATAAAAGCAGATCAAAAACAAAAACACTTCTAAATAACTCACTGATCAAAGATAAAACAAAGGGAAATTAGAAAATACCTTTGGCATATAAGAGCAAAATCATACACCAAAGAGAACCAGTGATGAAATGTGTAACTTACTTTTAGGATATTGTCACCCTTAGTAAAATAAGTATAGATATATTATGAAATTATTCCTGAATCCTTTTCACCTTCTTTGACTGAGAGCAAGCTTTGATGATTTAAGAAGAGTACACTGATTTGCCCATAGTTATAATTACTATTGTAAATCAAAAGCAATTTCTCTTCAAAGTGGTGGCAGACTAGGGTTTCAAAGTCAGTGTAATGCTAATAGTTATGCTAACATTTTGACATTTTAAAAGGGAACATGTTTGTGACATGTGAGAATCAGTATCAGTTGAGAAATTAAATAAGATACAGTATAAGAGTTAGGTTTTCAAAATATAAGAATGGATTTAGTATATTAAAAGGCTACTGTACATTTATAATATTAAAATAACTAAGTGTATTTGGATCTAATGTGACTTATATAGTACTCCTTAGGTTCAAATCTTTACCAAGAGAATTCTCTGCTACATATTTCATTTTACCTTCTACTTTCCAAGAAATGCTTAGCACCTCATGTGCATGCTTGTTAGTTCCATTTACGATTTCCTGTAGCTATGAAACTAAGAAATGAGGCTAATACTTTTATTTCAAGTTTCCAAACTGGTCTTTCTTTAAAACTATAAATGAATTAGATTTAAATCTATAAATTAAATAAATATTTATATTTCAAGGAATATGTATCTCAATGAATAACATAATATGCTAACAGGCACGTATAAAGAAATATTTAAAATAAGCCATAATTTCTGAATACACAAGGCATAAATAAGAGGAACAGGTAACATTTGACAACTGAAAAAAAAACTAGTTTGTAGCTAAATTTATGTTCCTTCTTGACACTAACTACAAAAGAAGTCTTATTTTATAGTAGCCATTTTTTTTAAATCACTGGTGAAATTCTGATAGCCATAAATGTTCTCAATCTATTAAAACTCATTTAAGTTGCTCCTTCCTTCAAGACATTTACAATAACTTTATTCTATTCTCACATAAACTGCAATGTTTAAGAGATATTAGATAACTTTGACTTACTACAAGGATCAGATATGACAGTGGTTATGAGAGTACAGAAATGCCATGTAGCAATTTAAGGCAGTAAAAGAATACTAAGCCAAATTTAAAGTGAAGGGGCAATTTACCATTAGTAGACATGAACTAGAACTGGCTTTTGACCAGAACTTTATCCTTATATTTATAAAAAGGAACTAGAAGTCATTTTACAGACAAAAATAGAGTTTAGCTTTTTATGTCTCACCTGAAAGACTGGGAAAATATTTTTGTAAGTCGAGAATTTATGCCCAGTGTTGCTATGTGGACTGACATTTAAAAGCTATTTAAGACCCTCAGAAATCTTAGTTGCTAAAATTACACACGCACAAAACACAGAGATTAAATGCTGATTTATATGATATTCTTGCTGAAGTAAGATTTCAATAATACAAATATTTTAAAAAATGGGTATAAATTGGTAATGTGGATATACATGGGTACTTCCTCTATTATGGTAGTCACAGATAATTCAATTAAATCGATATATGACAGGGTATAGTGAAAACACTCTAATCCAAAGGTATTGGCTCAATCTAATTCTGGCTTCACTACAGTTCTTCATAAGGAAGTTTTAAGATTTTATTATTCTTAATATGGTCTTCTCCAATAGAAAGGTATACCATGAATCAGGAATTATTTAAAACTATTATGTTAGTTTCCGATTTACAGCTTTAAAAGAAAATCTATTTACACAAAGGAGGTGCAGAATGAGGTCAGACAAAAGTGGTCTAAGTCACATCCTCTAAATACATAGTAATAATAGATAATATCTCTCAATATGTCATAAAAGGCCTTTAAGGGAAATGCTTTCTATGATCTTTGATATAAATTTTTTTTTTAATGATATAGAAAGAATAAGATGCTGGTGGGTTTTATTTCTTTCCAAGTGCTATTTTCATTTTATTTCTGGGTAGTAATATACTATCATGAGAGGAAGGAAGTGGTACCAAGAGCCCTGGAAGCACACTATTGGGAGGCAGGCATCCAGCATGGATTGGCATCTACTGTGTGTCTGGTAACTTTCACATTTGATAAGAACTCTGGGGGGGTAGGTGTTATGGTCCCCAGTTGCAGATAAGGTTACTGAAGCTCACGGAAATTAGGGAACTTACCCAAAGTCACATATTTGACCAGTAAAAGTAGACTGTAAAGTTTGTATAGAAATGTAGTACCTCTAGTTCTTTAAATAATCATAATTGCATCATCTTGCAGTTGTAATTTTCAATGACTGCAGCCCCTTCTAAGAGAATTCTTGAATACAGATCTATATTGGATACAATTCCAGAAGGGGTATGCAGTTGTACATGAGAATGTGTAATTTTAGTGAAACATAGAATGGCTCACCTAGATGTACAAAAAATAAATTTGTGCAGTCATCTGTAGAAATTTATTATCAAGATGGGTTAGCTTTGCTGAATGATATGATACAGCTACAACTTATCATGACTGAAAAGTATTTAAATAATTAATGATGCAGACTATCAGAAGCCAAAACATTTAAAATTTAAGAGATCTAGGATTACATCAGCATGCATTACAATCTAGTTTTACAAGCAAGACAGAATGATAAGAGTGTAGAGTTTGTGTGCTTTGGAATCAGATCTGGATTTAAAATCTGGTTATAACAATTACTGGCAACATAAGGAAGTAAGGGACTTAGGTAAGTTTCTCTAATCCTCAGTTTACTCACCTGCAAATGAGGGAAAAAGAGACCAACATTATAGGGTTACTATGTAGATAATGTATACTAAGGGTTTGCCTGGCACAAAGTCAGTGCAAAACAAATGGAGGCTATTATTATTGTAGTTCTCTAATTGATCTGGGTATAAGTCTGACCTGCCCAAATGAACTTCTTGTGGACTGGGCTTTACTGGTACTATCAATGCCATCCAGCCAAAGACCACCAAGAAAACACTAATAGTGGAAAGAGCTGCGTTTAATGCTCACTGCAGTGAAGGAGAACGCTCATCATGGGGCACCGTAGGTATCTCATAAGAGGGTTTTAGAAAAAGAATGTATTACAGGTTTTAGACTTTGCTTGAGTCATTTTGGGGAAGCTCTAAAGACGGAGGTGTTCACTCCAGATTGGCTGGTGTCAGAAAGCAAGGGCAACTCTATAAGGAAGGCAGAACAGAGTGAGGATAAAGCTGTAACTGGTAAGGAAGCAGCAGTCACTCTTATTAGCTAGGAGAGGGCAATGTTTGGTATTTTGTGGATGGCACAATAAACTTGTTTTTGTCTGTGCTTAGACAACATTACAAAGTGGTCTTGTTTTGTCTCATTTTATCATAACCTGTTATGATAAATAACTGATATTGGTGCTCTGAGAGATTATTTATGCCCAATAGGGCAATTACATGGTCTAGCTGTGACAGCCAGGCCAGCTTCTAACAACAGTGAGGCCTCAGTGTCAGATCAATCCTTGGATGTCCGGGGCTACTTTTTCCTTTCTCAGTATCTTTTCAAAGCCTCTAGAAGGCCTTATCTATTATGAGTGCTTAATAAGCTTCCTGAATTAATTAAAACCCATGTTTAAAAGTAAGTTATATGTTGTAAGAAGGCAATCTTTTACACATATCATTATTTTTAATTAAGAAGCTTGCAGAAAAAAAAAAAGAAGCTTGCTTCATTCACTGTTCCTCTCAAATAAAAATGGCAGTATAAAAACAAGCAGTTTAATTGTAGTTTACAGATGGAAAGTCTAAGTGATTTTACTAAGATTATATCTCACGTCAAAGCCAGAGTACAAACTCTAGTCAATTCACTTTCCTCTACAAGATGTAATGTTATTAAATTTTATCAGTAGTTTTTCTCTCTTCCTCTGATCATTGTGCTGTGTGAGACAGATTTTTTTCTTAATGCTTTCCATCAGTTTCAATGGCCAGAAAAAAAAAAAATTAAATCTGAGCATCTCTGTCTAATCACACTTAGCTAGACTTCAGAAAGAACTATACTTTCAAATTTTGAAAATCCATTTGGTGAATACTTTTCTTCCTCAAATGAATATTATCTTCATGAGTAATTAAAAACATTTAATGGTCACTTATCATACACTTTTCAGGGGAAATCATATTCAGAGTACCTTAGGATTACTATTTGTTACTCTCACCCCAAAATGAACTTTAGGCATTTTAAGGTTATAGTACTTAAGTAATTTGGAAAGCGTGGATTAATTTTAAATCTGGCTATACAATGGTTACATATCACCTGTTTTAGAACAGGTTTTACTGCCATATCAAACTCTCCCTCACTCCAAATCTTCTGGAGTAGTCTATGACAATTCATGCAAATGACTGTCCCACAACCAGAGTCCGCCTCAGTTCCAGCATTTTACTACCTAAAGGTATTATAAATTAAAAGGGTAACAATCATAACCTCAAACGATACAGATCTTGTGAGGAAATAAGTAAGGCTTGGTGTGGAGAGATGAGTTCTGAATCATGACAACACCTTTATTCTGGAGGCTACACTAGGAGCTGCTCAGAACATGTCTAGGGCAAGCTTGTCATTCCTAGCCAAAGGGAGAACACTTGGCTAGAAGTTCTCATAACTGGAATATCAATGGCAATAGTAAACAGAGTTTAAAAGGCTGGGCTCATCAAATCTCCAAGGAATTAAAGCAAATACCAGATGTCAAACTATCTGTTACTAAATGGGCTGATTAAAACTTTTAAGTATTTGAGGGGGAGAAAATGGGAAACTTGAGACAAAAGTTCTGAGGTCTCACAAAAAGATATACTGAAAAAACTGCTATTAAATAAACGAAATCAAGATTTAGAGTCACTAATATCACAAAATATATAATAAATGTGTCTATATATATTTTATGTATATATGTGTGTATAGGCATTATGAGTTGTGAAATAAACATATTTCCAGATATAAATGAAGATCAAGGATTTTTATCATTTAAATATCTGAGGTGGTTTTTGTTAGTTAAGTTGATGGCTATAAGTCTTTTAAATTTTCATTAATGACTACAAAGCCCCTCCAAAATTTAAAGCATGCTATAAAAATGAAATAATAATAAAACACCTTTCTAGGATGAAAAGTACTAATATATATTACCATAAATTAAATCATATGGTCTATAATCTATAATGCTAAAATTTTATACAAATATGAACCATGATATAATAGTGTTATTACATCACGTATTCTTAAAATGTACTTCAGCACAACTGAAAACAAATACCTTATAATTAGTTCTTATTCATTTAATAGAATATGAGATAAATTATACATGTCAAGTGTATTATTATGAATAACAGAGGAAAAATGATGACTGAGCTACTTTTATATACCTGGTTGGTAAAAGCTCTGCACTAGTCAGTAATGGCTTAAATTATAGCACTGTTTGGATCACCTACAAAGCAGCAGCAATAAAGAAACAATGGAAGTTTAGAGGAAGATCCAGAAATATAAACATAAAGAAAAGAATGAAAAAACAATTGGGATAGAAGTCTTTCTAGAGTTTATCCATTTGTTTAATAAATGTTATCTTAAGGATAATTCACAAAAATATAAATGCAGTGGGTATGTCAAATTAAAAGATGTTAATAGTTCTCCAGGTATGTCAATACCCTATGTAATCCCAGAAGAGTGGCATCTTATTGGGGAAATATTTATTCCCCTCATTAATAAAAATGAGATACACTAATGAATCACTTTAGAGAGAATGATAATGACAAATTGTTAAAATTATGAAATTGAATACTTTCTTATTAAAACATATATAAAATCCATAACATACAGTGCTATTGAACAATTTACTTTTCCATGGAGTTTGATCAAGCTACTTTCATAAATTACCCTTCAAGTTAAATTAATAATGGCATTTATGCTTTTTTCCCCTAAGTATTTAAGTTCAAGTATCAATGAACTTCTCTATCACAATTTTAGATCAACTCATAAACCTAATTTTGCAGAGTATATTATAGTTAATTCTTGATTTCTGCATATTATTATTCTTGGAAGACAAACAATTTGAATGTTCAAGTCTTACCTGACCAGGTTCTGTTCCAGTTACAGTCAAATCTTGGACGGACCTACGTCTTGGCTGTCCGTTGCCTTCAAACAAACAACAACAACAAAAAAAACAACAAAAAAGGGTAAAATATTGAAATCTACTCAAATAGACACTAAGGGTATAACTGCTACAGTTGGAATTTGTTGCTCCTTGGATCTACACAAAATGTTTGTGGAAAAAAATATAATGAGTTTATTGAAAAAAAACAAAAGAGAAAGATGTAAAGAAAGGAAGAGAAACAGCTGCAGTGTTTTAACTCAAAATTTGCTGGCCTACAACAGAGTATGTTCTAATACAGTAACCACTCCTACCACATGAATAGCTGCTGAACTCTCTTCCACCATCTTCTGTCAAGTGTTTAAATAGATGGATGCCTGGGGGCTGGGCTGATGATGGCATCTATTTCAAGTGCCTTACGTTACAGTTTTTATGGCAAGACAGCCAGCAGGTTGTAAGACACGACTGACTTTAACTGGCAGCAATACCTTGTTCGTTTCAGAGCCCAAAAGGATGCTTAGACTTAAATTTATTATATACTGAGTCACAATTAATCCCATTAGACTTTGTCAGAACATAGTAATTTATTTAATATTATTTGTGAACAACTCTTAATTTCCTCCTGGAGATGAATGACTCCCATTTTGTTCTTAAATATACAGCTTGTTGAAATGGGCTATTGCGTTAACCCTACTTTAGGAACTTCTACGCTAATAATAATTTAATAAAAAAATCACTTTATGAAAGACTTGCTATATTCTGTAATTTCTCAATTAGTGGGCAACCCTTAGAACATGTACTCTCCATGTACTCTAATAGTTGTGGCCCGATAAGCAGACAGGATTCATCCATAAAACTTAAGATTTCCATAATCCTGTGCACAAAAAAACAACAAACCTTAAACTAATCAGCAATATCATTTAGCATCTAAACCCACATGAGCCCATTATTATTTTGCACATAAAAAGGACCTTACAATGGAACAAGAATGTTTAATGCAATAATATGTGTAGTGAATATAAAAACTCAAATTTATAACCGCCCTTGAAAGTATAAGACATCATAACTTTATTTCATTTTAAACTATGCTTTAGAATTCTTTGCATAATTTGAATTCAAATTTACTTCAAATTTCATTTTATTCCAAAAAGTTTCAACATTCCATTTTAAATTAAAATAACAAACTGTGCATTTATTGAATCAGACATACTAGATTACTTCTATGAATACTTTCAACTACCCCTGTTTCCTGAGGAAAAAAGGATCCCCACCACCATGACTAATAAGCAATTTTAGGCACATTTCATTCAACACACTCATTCTAAAATTAGCGGTGATGAGACAGGCTTGTAAAAGTGTCTGGAATTCTCTTTTCAGATTAGCAACACAGCAACATTTGTGAATCTGAGCAACCACCCAGCACATGTGTCTATAAACCATTACATCACCATTGCAATAACAACAAAAACTGAACTCAAATTTAGGTGCAGGGGCAAGGGGATAGGAAGAAAGGGAAGCAAAAACTTTTAAGGAAATAGGGTAAAGAAGAGCTGACAGTTAACAAATGCCATAAAATGACAAATCTTCAAGCAACCACATGAGTCAAAGCAAGCAATATTAGGCAAGGCATTTGATTAGCACAACCATGACAGAAACCATCTGGCAAATAGTTCAGACAAAGCAAATAGGATTGCAATCAACAAATACTTGTTGCTCCAATATTAAGTTTTAAGCCATGATTTAGAAATATGAATGTAAAAAATACCAATCTCCTATTATTTTAAATGAAAATTACTGGGTGTGTTCTCAGCAAATTTGGGTTGATTTTGAATTTTTCTGTAACTGAACACAAATTTAGAAAATCACTCATTTTACATTTTTTTTTGCTTCTTTGATATGTGCATACCTACATTATACATGGTAGTGTAAATGAAAAAGTAGTAGAAATGAGGGCAACACAATGTAAACAGATGCCAGATCAAGGAATCTGAAACCTGCAAATGATGTCCTGAGTAATGAATCCGTGAACTTTCATGACTTATGATAGACAACAAATCACATTTTTAAGGATGACTTCTAATTAAAGAATACACAACATTGCCAGTGTATCCTAAATCCAACCCTCCCTGAATAGAAAGCGGGGGAAGGATAGCAGCTTATAGGTCAATTTGGTTCTTTTTACAGTAACGTCATAAAGATAGAATCTACGTCTTCAAAAAAGCTGAGCTGATATTTAAAAGTTATCACAGAGTTCTCCCAGAGACTGCTGGCTTAGGTCCCAGACAGTCACTCCTGTGGTTTTCCTTATTGGTTTTAGTTCATAGCTTTCCTTACCTTCACTACTCTTATCTTTCTATTTCTCAAACTTCCTGAAGACTTTCTTCTTTTCATGTAAAAACCAACACTACATTTTCCTGGAGACATCTCTTAACCTAAATGTTAGAAAATTTGAGATTCGTAAGTTTTGAATATTAGAAATTACAGGACATTGTTCTCTTCATATGTAAAATACACAAGATTTTAAAAAATTTGTATAGCACAATGCACTGCAGTATTATATTACAGCTTCACAGTAAACTGAATATGTACTTTTTAAACGTGTGTTCTCATTTAGGCTGCCACAAATTTCATATTCCTTTACTAATTCCAACAAATTCTGGCACTTTCATTAAAAAGGCCCTTCAGTGGGGTTTTTTGTTTTCCTATTAAAGGAAAATAGTTATTACTGATGATTTTTGCTTTCTAATAAACCACCTTTATTAGGTTAGAGTTTGACATTTTTAGATTACAAAAAGTGATCTCAGTAGACTACAATATAGTACAGAGATTACCTAAGCATTCATTGTAAGGTTTCATTAACTTCCCTATTTAATTAGCCACAAATACAGAATTTTATTAAAAGTGAAGTGGCTATACACAGAAACTGTTATAGTGTATCTTATTAATAGTATAGCACCCCTTGGGTCCCAGCGTCCCCCATCAAAGGTTAACAACTGCTAGTGACACTTATCTGTGTAAGGTAGGAACTTGCCAGATCTAGAAAAACTGAATTCTTTTTCTCACTGTCTCTTCATATTGGTGTTGCACTTTTCAGGGGGAAATATTTAATAATTTGCATACTTCGAGTTAAACGAATGCTTACAAACATTAATATCTAGCTCTTGAATCAAATATAGTATTAGAAAGATGATATTTTCATCCTAGTGGAGAAAGCAAAATAGTGTCCAGGTGTCCTTGAAAAGTATCTCTAATTCCAGCTGTCTAGCGTTCTACAAAGTCAATCTGTTTGTCAAGCCCTGATATCTGGAACTTGTGAAGGAGGGCAACAACACGTAAGTATCAGAAACCTAACTACTCATCTGTTTTTCCGTTGAATATGTTTGGACTTTTCCACATTCTATTCATTTCATTTTACTACTTATCATATTCTTGGCAAAAAACCAATATACAATATTGTATAAATGTCCTTGACTGAAATTAAAAGTGAATATTCATTAAATGTTTTTCAGTTGAAAGATCTAAATACAGCTGAAATCATAAGGACACCTAAGGTTTCTTTTTAGCTTTAAGACAATATTACAAACAATAAATATCAATTAAATTCAGGCTCTTCAGGGAATTTGGCAAAAATATTTAAAATATTTCAATAAGATTGACTCAAAAACATTTGTATATTCAATTTTCTTTATCATATCCTTAAGAACACTATGTAAGATAGAAAATCCTCTTTGGTCAAGGCATTCTATCAATCTCAAATGTTATGCCATCTTATTTTAGGCTTAGAAAAAACAAAAGGTATACTAAAGCAACACTATTCAAGTTTCTCAAATTGAAGTTCTTCAAGGCAATGCTTATCTATAGAATGGATGAGAAAATTTTCCAGTGCTTAAAATGAAATCTTGTATTATAATTTAGTCCAAAGAAATAAATTCTGAGTTATCAATTATGATATTATAATAGCATTAACAAAAACTGCTTAAATATAAATATTCTACAAAATTTTCCAGTTTAGCTAATTTTCTCAAGATATATTTCTAATATATTATAATATCAGTATTTGGAAAATTTTACATCTGCAAATCACATTTTGGAAATTCATTTCATTTTATAACACCAATCAAGCTGGTATAAACTATGTATAACAAATTTTATATTAGAGTGGAAGTGCCAAGACCAATGTTTCAATTAAACCTTTTACAGGTGGTATGTATGTATGTACACCTCAGTATTTTTTTCCAGTGGGTTTCAAACTGCATGATAATCACAGTTGATTTCCTTTAAGTGCTATAACTACTCACACAAGGACTCCAGAGCAGGACTGCTGATCTTCCTTGATTACTGATGCCACAAACATGAACAAAATTTGCTTTCTTAACTACTCATTCTCTTATTCTACGCTTTAAACTGGAAAAGGTTGTTGCTCCTTTTTTGTAATTTTTAGGCATCTTACCTGCTCATCTTTGACATTTGGATTTTTAAAAAAAGTAAAATTTAGATATTTTCCTAACATCAAAAGAATTGTTATTATCACAATGTATGATATACTTTCACGATCACAATCCCTATTTCATTTGTGTATTTGAGATGAAGGCAGGAGAAAAACAGATTCTTGGAAGCTTGGATAGCAACAAACACAAAATGTGAAGAAAAGTAAAGAAAATCCAAGCAAAGATCTGCATTCTTATTGCCCTTATTAAAGTCCTGGAAGAAAAAATATTTAGAAAAACTCGAAAACTCCAATAAACTGCCACCCACTCTCTTTTCTACAAATAGAACACATTAAAAAGTACTGGTTGAAAAGGAGAAGGATTATGCTTTTTAAAACTCAAGTTTTAATGGAAAATATTAAGAAAGCCTATTTCCTTTTCTCAAAGCCTATTCCAACTTGTCAGCTTATAATGTCCAATAAGCAAATATATTAGAAAATTGTAGGTCAAATGGTCTAAATCATGGGTAAGAACCTTCCACATTTACATTTACTTTGCTTAAGTAGCACAATGCTACTTGGCAGGATCTTCTCTACAAATGAAGAGTCAGCAAAATGTCATATGTACTGGTAATTTGCTCTTAAGTTGGGTCTTGCCTGGTAATAAGGAGCCAGATTGATCCATAGCTCACACTTTAAGGGCAGGTGGACAGTGGGAAGCAGAAGAAGGGAGGGTTACCCCACCAAAGTTTGCCAGTACTTCTTCAGAGCTAGGAGTAAGGTAGATGAGGTATAAAAAAACTGCATTCTGATCCAGAGAGAGTACTGAAGGATTACAGGTCAATTTCTGCACGACTGGAGAATTGATGAACATTGATGTAAGCCTTAAGTTGCTTTTTCTTCCACATCTAAATGATGGCATAATACATAACAGTTTGAAGAGCAAGAAAAAACAAGATTAGATTAGGGTCTTTGTGTTTCTTTGCCTATGACTAGGTTAGACATTTTTGTCATTATAAAGACGTACACGTGAAAACTTTTTGTGATGCTTGAAGGAATGCTCTTATTAAGACAGACAGTTCATTCCAAGAAGTACATTAGACTCAGTATATATTGCACTTGGCCAAAGGGAAGTATTATGGAAACTACTTTCTGTACAGATTAAAAAAAGAAAGCTGTATTTTAAAAAATGCTTACAACTGGGTTCCAATGCTAATTAATAAGAATTCTGGATATATCAAGAAGTATTTGGTAATACCACAGAACTTGTGGGAAATCCACTTAGAGCAAAAATATTCTAGAAGTTATTAAGAAATCTGGGAAATTAAGTATTATCTTCCTTTATAATTAAAACGTCATGCAGGAAATTTGAGATATTCACAAAAGGTGGGCTATATTTTTATATTTAATTTTAAAATATGACCTAGGAACACATAAATATTTGGCTTTTATGTCCATCGGTTTCAATTCCAGAACTTGTATTCTTGTATTAAAGAAAGTACAGCAAATTAAGTTAATGTTTGGATATCTAAAAAAAAAAAAACTAACAAGAATATTTAATAAAAGGTATTATTGAATATTTTCATTTGAATAGCATTGCTGTTCTGACAATTAAGAATTTAGGTTTCCTGACTCTATAGGACCCAATGTCATAAATTAGGGTCTCCCTGGCTAAAGAGCTCTCCTTAATATGAACCCTAAGGAGGAGTTAAGACAGAATTAGTCTATCTTCTCCGACTTAAAAGAGCAGAAAATGTCTGTGATTTGGAATTAGAAGATCTGGGCTGTGTAATTCTGGGAAAGCTACTCAACATCATCAGATCTAAGTTCTTCAATTGTAAAAAAATAGCTATAATTTCATCTGATAACCTAGTTAGAAGGCTGTGATGAAGGTCAATTAAGATGATGTAAACTATTAAGCTACTTCACAGGCCACAAAGGACATCTAGCCAGGGTTTCTCAGCCTTGGCACTGCCAACATTTTGAGCTGGATAATTCTTTGTTGTGGGGGGCTGTCTGGTACACTGTAGGATGTTTAGCAGCATCCCTGGCCTCCGCCCACTGTATGCCAGTACCACTTGTCAGCTGTGAACTATTATTCTTTCCCCTCTTCTCCCTCCCCCATTATCTTGTATAGTATTGGCTATATTGCCATATTTATGTTCTTAATGCTTGTCCATAAGAGCTGGACTGAGAGTATGCTGCCATTTGTCTAAATTTTCCTTATTACCTCAAACATTTAAGGTAATCACAGCTCAGCACTACGTAAACTTAAACATTGCCACTTCTTTAGTCAAAGTATTATTCCCTTATACATAGTACCTTTCATCATGGAGGTAAAATGATCTCAAGTACTTTGTTAAATTCTAAAGCAGTCCAGACTCAATAAATAAAATTACTACATAAAAATGGATTAACTCTATTCTTTGAATAGCAATAGTAACAATGTTGTAAAATAAGAAACCCTTTTGATAACCAATGGAAAATTACTCTAATATAAAATAGTTTTGTATAGACAAAATGGTACCTAAGAATTGTATAATTTTCATTTTTGTATCTTTGTTCCTAGCCAGTGGAGATGCCCAATAATGGTTTGTTCATTTATTTAATAAATACATATTTATTAAACACCATGTTAATATGTTTAATATGAGAAGCATTGAGCCAGCTACTGCTGACACAATCAGTAATAACAACAAGAACAGAATAATCAACAAAAACATGATCCCTATCCTCATAGAGTTTTCAAATTAGTAAAAAAGAACCATTAAGTATTCAACTATAATATAAACACTACGCTAAAAGCACAATCGCAGGCAAAGGACAGAGTGCTGAAGAATTCATCCAAATTACACTCATGAACGTATATGGAAAATATTATATATTTCCTTATTAAGATTTTGGTTAAAGAGGTAAAGGAAAACCTAAAGCAGAGGGATAAATAAATGATAATTTTAAGGCTGGGCATGGTGGCTCATGCCTGTAATCCTAGCTCTCTGGGAGGCCAAGGTGGGAAGACTGTTTGAGCTCAGGAGTTCGAGACCAGCCTGAGCAAGGGTGAGACCCCGTCTCTACTAAAAATAGAAAGAAATTAACTGGACAATTAAAAATATGTAGAAAAAATTAGCCAGGCATGGTGGCACATGCCTGTAGTCCCAGCTACTCGGGAGGCTGAGGCAGGAGGATCGCTTGAGCCCAGGAGTTTGAGGTTGCTGTGAGCTAGGCTGAAGCCACGGCACTCTAGCCCGGGCAACACAGTGAGACTCTGTCTCAAAAAAAAAAAAAAAAAAAAATGATAATTTTGATAACACATATTAACCAATATTGAAGGTCAATATGTCATTTAAGTTTCTATTAAAAATGGTGATTTATATTAATCTATAAAATGATCACTGTAAGAAATAAAATCAGTTTCTCAATTTGAGACACTAAAGTACCATGTGTAAGTTAGGTATAAAAACATGTAATTTATGACATTTTCTTATATAATACATAAGAACCAGATTGACCACTTATTTTACATGATTCTTTGGCAAGATACCCTGCAAAACAGCAAACAACGTTTAGTTTTACTTTGTTTCAGTTTTCTAGATTAAGGCAAAATAGTATTTAGCAACTTTCTTCTCTCAACTTCGTATTTACTTGCTACCAACAGAAAGAGGCTGGGAGAGAAAGCCTAGACAGGGAGCCCAAAAAGTAGTAACTGAGGAAGGAGAGGGGCCAAGGACAACAAAAAATTGAAAATAGTTGTTTCCTCTTTCTGCTGGGTGCAAAAATGGTCTGGGTTTAGCTCATGCTCACTTAAAAGGTAAAATGAAGCTGATAAAATTCTGAGTTAGCATTCCTTTTTGTGAAAAGGCTTACTCTGTCTTCTATTTTATCCTCATTATTAGAGATCTGAGGTATCTTTTCAAGCCTGTTTCAGAATAAATGTATAGTTTTCAATCTGTCTCCCTAATCACTGCATGCAAGGTATCTATTTTCATGTCCTATAAAAATTGGAGCAAAAAGCATTTTCAAAGTACCAGGGATCATTATTCCGGTTCCACAGCTATTAGACCAATTCAAGTGGTCTATGATACCTGATATGACGATCTCAGGGACATCCAGAATGTTGCCAAATGAAGCGGTTTTACGGTGGCCCCGTTTAGGCTTGGGATAGGCTGCAAAAACACATATATACAGTATACATGCAAACAACCACAAATAGTAACACAGAAAACGATTAACTACAAAAATAGAATAATTTTCAAATAGTTATGTTAATAACATTTCATGCAGAATGGCATGCAGAACTATCTAACTTTTCATCCATGCTTAGAAAAGGCGTGATTAAAAAGCAAACAACTACCAAGATGTTTCACACACTGGTTTTAATTAGCAGGAAAAAAAAGGACATAGACAAAGCTGCAGGGTAATGAGGAAGCTAAATTTCAAATGTGTTTACAGAAACAGTCTACCTAAGTGAAACCACTGATATGTGATGGGGGTGGGAGGGATAGGGAAGGGAAGGAAGAGGAGTTAAAAAGAAATAAGCTGTCATATGTGTTTTAATTACACAAACACAGGAATACATGTTCAAGTTAGGTGTTTCTTGAAGTGTGCTATAAAGTAAAATTCAATTATTAAATAATCGTTATTGAATCAAAGTATGAAATGCATATGCTTTTGTAATTATAAATACCTATAAATATTTCTAGTAAACTGAATATTTACTATAGTTTCCAAAGCTTAGGGAGTATTTCCACTAAACATGAAGGTTGTAGAAAGGCTGGGGGGTATGAATCTTTCCATGTAAGATAATTCACTAAAAAATGTAATTTGCATAAAATTCAAAGACGTACAATAGCATTTGTTCTATATTTAGGCAGAAAGAATAGGATAATTTTAATGTGTGTGGTTACCTTTATTCTAGTGAAATATCATTTCTATAAAGAATAATTATAAACCAGTGCTTGACTAGAAAAATGATACTAGCAAAGACATACAACTATTATTATAATACTATTTTTTGTTTTAGGGTAGCAATTAATACTTGGCAGATCTATCTTGAATAACATCCCTGAAGTGAAAAAGGCTCCCCAAAGTGTGAGGGTATGTCCCTGTGAGCAGGGTTCATCTGACACTACACTGAGACAACCATGCACCGAAGAAATATTTGTGACTCCAGGAGACGAGAAAGGCTTGTCAGTGGCTGGTGACTTCCACTAGACTTGATTGTTTCAGAAGATCCAACTGTGGCAGACTGCTAGTCCCCCCACCAATCTCTATTCTTCCCTTTGTCTCTGCAACAGACCCAATTTTATTTAGGACTGTAAAGTTCCCACATAAAAGACCACAGACCCCTCCTTGCCTTGGAGCTATGTGTAGCCATCTGACCATGTTACTCTGGCCAATGACATCTATGTGAAAATTGTTAGGAGGGACTTCTGGGAAAGCTCCTTCAAAGAATGTGGATATCTTTTGCCCTTCTCCTACTTCTTCCTTCTTATTGCCTGGAATGTAGAAGTGATGACTAGAACCCTAACAGCCATTCTGGATCACAAGGTAACCTTGAGGATGGAAGCCATCCAACAGGGTTTATGGCACAAAGATAGGAGAAGACCAGTTGCCTAATGATCATGGAGCCTACCTCCAGACTTGTTCATGTGTGAAAAATAAGGCTTATGTGTTATAGACACTGTTATTTTGGATATTCTGTTATATCTAACGGATTCTAATGCTAGCTGATAAAATCAGTGATTAGGATTAGTTGAAGACTAGTATGATGGTTCATCTTGACAACTTCTTTCTGAAAAGAGCTCCACACACAACGACAATATTCTATTTAGAAAAAAAAAGAAAACAAATAAATGAAAAAAAAAGACCTAAAAAATAAAACTTGGTTAGCTAAGTTAAAATATATATGCAAATACACAAGGAAATATATATTTATACACAAATATAGTTAAGAGACTAGAGGTAAATACACCAAAATGTTAAGTGTTTATGTCTGAGTGTGGTAATTACACAAGTTTGATTTTTTTTGGCTTGTTCACATTTCCACATTTTCCACAACAGAAATGTGTTTACTTTTATAATCAGCTCCCCTCCATCCCTGGGAAAAATCAGAAAAAAACCCTCCAAATTAAACTGGCATTACTAAAATGAAACCTGGTTAGACAAGAAGGTGGTCTGTTTACTTAGGACACAAAACATGTGATTGTTTTTGTGCTGACTAGTTCTTCCACGATAAATAATGATAAGAACTGACGAAAGGGAATTTAAATGCTAGCTTTTTCAAGATCCAACAAAATTATCACTTTTTATTATACAATTAAAAGAATTACTCACAACAAGCTAGCTATTTTTGCCACTGGAAGGAAGAAGGAGCCAACAGTAAGGCCAAATCATATTTGGCTGTGGAGTACATTTTTCTGCTGACTTCAAAACAAAATATTTGCTATTATTTGAGTTTAGCACAAAAATCTAACAGAATCACTCAAAATCCCCTAGAGCATTCTAGCTTTGGCAAAATTTCAGTTTCTCACTTAGACTTTCAGCTCATCTTTGAGCAGAAAGAATTATATTTGATAAAATCTATAGTTAGGAAGGTATATTTTATAATGCAAATAATTTTACAAGTCATACCTTTCTTATTTGGAATTTGAGATAAATGCATAAACTATTGCTAGGAGCTTAGAAAAATATATTGTAAACCTACTTCCTGCTTCAAAAAAAATACATAAGACAAAAATTTCTGACATTCCCATGGAAACGACTGAAACTACCATGTCAAAATGGCTTATATACATTTTCACTCTCTTCAGACTTGTGGTTCCTTTTTACCTGTGGTCGCAGCGATCCTAGCTTCTATTTCAGACATGTCAGCACTCATTCTCTTGCCCTCAGACGTTGGGGGTAAGCTCTCCATGCTGCTCCCACGGGAAGCTCCCAAGCTTAAACGTCCAGATTCACTCTGTTAAAATTACAGATCAATCTGAATTACTGAAGTTCTTTTGATTTAGAAATTTGGGGCAGCCTATGAGAAAGACACCAAGTGGGATTCTTAAGGATCCTGTACTGCTCTGAAGAGGGAAATTTTCATGGAGAGGGAGCTACAGGGGTAAGGGAGAGCAAGCTGCAGACACGACCTGTCTGCATGAAAGGACCATCATTACATCCAGGAGTTAAATGCCCCAATTATTAACCTAAATGTCTTAAGTAAGATGAATAAAATCACTCCTTAAAATATTTTTAAACGAACAATGGCAAGGATATAATAAATCTGAACAACATGAAATGATAGATTTAGGACAACTCCTTTAACTGGGTAGTGCAGCTGAAATACACTGATTTCACATTTTTAACCATCAACCATTAAAGTTAGGAATTATCATCGGGAGGGAGTTACAGAGTTGGCAAAGGTAGCAATCAATGAAAGGGAAAACAATTTGGTAATAAATGGTAAGGAGAATCTCATAATTTCACTATGTATCTCTCTTCTTAAGCTCACCTCTCAGGAAGAAGATTCAGGATTCATATAATAGAAGATGGCACATAATTAATTTCAGCTAGTATAACGTTAGGACTACTGGTAAGGCTATCATACAATTTTATTTTTAATAACAACAAACCTGCTGCTTTGCCTGATTTTTCAATAATTTTGATTCCAAGCGTTTAATAGTATCATTTGTGGCAGGGACTTGCTCCATATTAGTGTCACTTTTATTACTGGTATTTGTAGAAGCAATGTCCATGAAGGAGCCTAGGAAAGAAGAAACATTTATGAATACAGGTTGGTAACAGTACAAATGCTTTATTCAATAACATGTAACTTAAATTCTTTTCTTAACTGGCAAGACATAAATAGAAATAAAATGAGAGTTTTCAAGCTAATGAAGATACCCAAAACAAACCCATTTTAAATGAAACTTAAGGATATCACAAAAAAGGAACCAAGAAGCCTAAATAGTCTTCTAATAGTTAAGAATAACTTAGGATTTTTAGCCTGAGCTAGTAGAACTGAGGGCTATTAATAAAGATGGGGAAGATTATAGGAGTGAGTTTGAAGGAAGTATCAGGAACTCAGTTTGGAAAATGTTGAGTTCCTAGTAGACATAAAACAAGTAGTTGGATATACGAGTGCACAGTTTAGGTATGGGATGGAGAAAAATACCAGCAAATAGATGGCATATAAAGCCATAATAATGGATGGGGTTACCAAGGAAATGAGTGTAGATGGATAAGTGAAGAGGCCCTGGGCACTCTGACATTTACAGGTTGGGGAGATGAGGAATAACTAGCAAAGAACATACTTTTCTGGGAAG